TCTCTCTCTCTCTCTCTCTCTCTCTCTCTCTCTCTCTCTCTCTCTCGCTCTCTCTCTCTCGTTCCTGCTGCTTCAAGAAGATAGGCTTTAGTATCATGGGTCTTCTTTGTGCAGGTCTTCACAGCCGTTGCCTTAATTCTAGGAGATGGCCTCTACAACTTCCTCAAGGTCTTACGTCGAACCACATCCTCCATTTCTGCTGTGCTCAAAGGCCTACCCATCTCGGATGATGAACGTGCCCCGAAAAATCTTGCCATCTCATTTGATGATGAAAGGCGAACCGAGGTGTTCGTCAGAGATCGCATACCTCCGTGGGTAGCATATGGATGCTACGTTGTAATCGCCACCCTCTCCATTTCTACGGTTCCTCTCATCTTTCCTCCGCTCAAGTGGTACCATATCTTGGTCGCCCATGTCTTCGCCCCAGTAGCTGCTTTCTGCAATGCCTATGGCTTCGGCCTCACAGATTGGAGTCTGGTATCCACCTATGGGAAGCTTGCCATTTTCGTGTTTGGAGCTTGGGCAGGCGCCGACCATGGCGGTGTGCTTGCAGGCCTTGCGGCCTGCGGCCTCATGATGATTGTCGTCGCCACTGCCTCAGATCTCATGCAGAACTTCAAGACCGGATACCTAACACTAGCTTCTCCCAGGTCGATGTTCGCGAGCCACGTCATCGGCACTGCCATGGGTTGCGTGATCGCTCCCTGTGTTTTCTGGCTTTTCTACAAGGCCTTCGATGACATCGGCATTTCCGGCAGTCAATACCCAGCACCTAATGCTCCCATCTACCGCGACATGGCGATCCTCGGAATTGATGGCTTCTCGTCACTTCCAAAGCACTGCCTCTCTCTCTTCTACTTGTTCTTCGCGCTCGCTATCGCCATCAACTTGGCGAAGGACGTGTCGCCCAACAGGATAGCAAGGTTTATCCCAATCCCAATGGCGATGGCTATACCTTTCTACATCGGAGCATCCTTCGCCATCGACATGTGCATCGGAAGCGTGATACTGTACGTGTGGACAAAGATGAACAAGGGCAAGGCGTCTGCGTTTGGTCCTGCCGTGGCCTCCGGTTTGATCTGCGGCGATGGGATGTGGGGTGTCCCTCAAGGAGTGCTTGCTCTGGCTCAGGTGAATCCGCCAATGTGCATGAAGTTTGTCCATGGAGAATGAATGGCCAAGAAGATGTTCGCATCTATCACCTTATCCTACTTTCCTCCTCGGTGGCAAACGAGAACGAAACAGGACACACAGTGGATTTCCATCCCATCCATATATCCACTGAATTGGCCTGTGTTCATCAGTCTCATGTATATATTATATATCAGATAAGGTTTTGAACTTTCAGTATTTGATATACAGGTGTGACATATCACTATTAGATGAATATAAATATTTACCTCTTATTTTTCTGATGAGAAAGAATAATACAAATCAAGGAATGAAATATCATATCGTATCGACGTTTCGATAATATATCATTACATATATCGTACAATACGATATAATATATCGAACGATACGTATCGTTTGATACGGACGATATTATTTGAAATTATATAAATAACATGTCTACTGGCTTCAGAAATAATAAATAATGGTGACAAACACATATACAGGATATCCTGACAAAACAAAGTTCATCATCCTCTGCATTGGAATCATCCATCTATTTTAGCCGATCAAACTCCTATAATCTTAACTTTAGGCTTGCGGATTTTTGTGCCCAGCGACCTGTTCTTCACGGCACCGGTCTATTCATTCGATGTATGCCTTTGAATGACTGATGCTCCTCACATTTTGTCGTCAATCAAATCAGAAGACTCGCTTCAAGTCAGTCTACCTTTTGTCTTGATACCATCACGAATGTAGATTGATAGATCATGTCTCATCTACCAAGCAAGGGTATAGGATGTTCTGCCTTGGAATCCATGGATTCATCTTCAGATAAAGATTCTTGCTGAACCGACACTTCATCTTCATCGTTCCCACGCCGGAGAAGTTCTTGGTCATGTGAACTGGTCGCTTCAGTTCCACACTCAGATCCGTCAGCCGTCAGCAGAAGACCTTTCCTCGATTCCTTCGTGCGAGGCATCTCCAATCTTTCATTCAGAAAACATACTTTGGGATGTGAACTGTGATCGTCAAGTTAATATGCAACAAATGAGATTAATAGTGGGGAGTGGACCGATGGGGACAGCCAATGGAAATGGCCATCGATTTGCGAGTGGAATATGAGGAATCCTCAGTCCATGAAAGAAGCATTATCGTTTTTCCAAGGCTTTTGGAGGCCAGTCACTCTCAGGGCAGCTCAGCCAGTCGCATAGCTCCGGTATTGCTTGCACTCTTCCGTTTCCTCATCCGGTGTGAACAACAGCTCGTGATTCCTTCCAAAGCATGGCTTTGGAAGTAGATCCGATCACTGTTCTTTGAAAATGAACTCAAATCAATAAAAAATTAGAACTGAACAAGATCAACGATTCCATAGTTCTTAAAGGAATCCATGATTGATCCAACGGCATCTCGTCATGTTGGATGCAGATATGAAACTGTCGAAAGGTGGAAGAGGAAGAACTTGTGGGCAGGAACGAGATCCAAGCCAGATTCCAAGGAGATGGTGCTGATGCGTTGACCGTCGTGAGTAGTCTTCGTCTCTTCTTCCCTCGATTCTCCGTCACTTTCATGGTTCACTTACCAGTTGTTCTTGAAGCCACCACCACCGTCTAGATATAGTCTATCGCGCACAGCACAGCAAGGGGAACGGCATGGAGAACGAAGAGAACGGGGTGGAGGGGCGGCCCGCGATGGAGAACCCAAAGAAGGAAGAGGAGGAGGAGGGGAAGCGGGGAGAGGCGGTGTCGGTGGAGCGGACGTTCGAGCGGCAGCGGGTGCCGCCGTGGCGGGAGCAACTGACGGCGCGGGCGCTGGCGGTGAGCTTCCTGCTCTCGGTCATGTTCAGCGTGATCGTGATGAAGCTGAACCTGACCACCGGCATCATCCCCTCCCTCAACGTCGCCGCCGGCCTCCTCGGCTTCTTCTTCGTCAAGGTCTGGACCAAGGCCCTGGAGCACGCCGGCCTCCTCCGCACCCCCTTCACCCGCCAGGAGAACACCGTCATCCAGACCTCCGTCGTCGCCGCCTACGGCCTCGCCTTCAGCGGTCAGCTCCCTTCTCTTAACCTGTTATCCTGTTGATGTTCGGAGACAAACAGGTTAGCGAAGTCAACAACAATCAAACCGAATCAATGGAATCTGATTCCCTGAATCAAACCATGAACATAAATCTCCATGCTTCTTCATATGATCTTCATGTTCCTCTGCTACCTTTCTAGACTTCGATGCTTGAGTTGCATACAGAGGACCATCATTGCGATACGCATCTGAAGCTTTTTGCTCGTCTTATATGAACAGGTGGTTTTGGAAGTTACCTTTTTGGGATGAGCTCAAAGATCGCCAACCAGACAACAGAAGCAAATGATTCACAGAACATAAAGGACCCAAAATTAGGGTGGATGATCGGATTCATGTTTGTTGTTAGCTTTCTTGGACTGTTTTCTCTTGTGCCACTCAGAGAGGTGAGTCCAAATCCAGCAATAAACTGTGTTTAACGAGCTCTTCCATGCTGTTTGTAATGCCGCTGCTTGAATCTTGTCGTAGATAATGATCATCGACTACAAGCTGATCTATCCAAGTGGCACCGCAACTGCGTACCTCATCAATGGCTTCCATACTCCTCAGGGTGAAAAGCTGGCCAAGTAACCATCTCGAGAACATCTAAATCTTCCCAATTCCTCTGCTGAACACACAACTGATTGATCCTTTGATTCTTAGGAAACAGGTGCGGACAATGGGCAAGTTCTTTGTCTACAGCTTCCTGTGGGGATTCTTCCAGTGGTTCTACACGGCTGGTGATGACTGCGGATTCGAAGCTTTTCCTACCTTCGGCCTCAAAGCTTATGCGAACAAGTAACATCCTGTGCCACTGCTCAAGTGCTTGAGATAACTGGATGCAATGCGTGACTGCGTTGTGTACTCGATGAATTCTCTCAGGTTTTTCTTCGATTTCTCTGCTACTTACGTTGGAGTTGGAATGATCTGCCCGTATATAGTGAACGTATCTCTGCTTCTGGGAGCGATCCTTTCATGGGGACTCATGTGGCCTCTCATAAACAACCAGAAGGGCCACTGGTATTCTGCGGATATCCCACCGAGCAGCCTTCATAGCTTGCAAGGTTACAGGGTAAGGTATCAATTGGGTGCCACCAATCTTCTACCGTCTCTCCTGTTCATCGTTGCCTCCATCGATGCAGGTGTTCTTAGCCGTCGCCTTGATTCTTGGCGATGGCCTCTACAACATCCTCAAGGTCCTGCATCGAACTATATACTCGTTTGTTTCCGCTGCGCGAAAACGCCCAACGAGCTCTCTTCCCATCTCGGACGGTGGCCGTGCTGTAACGAGTCCGGCAGCTTCGTTCGACGACAAGAGGCGAACCGAGATGTTCGTTAAAGATCAGATCCCGAAGTGGGTGGCATATGTAGGCTACAGCGCCATTGCCATCGTCTCCATAGTTACGATTCCTCACCTCTTTCCTCCGCTCAAGTGGTACCATATCTTGGTCGCCTATGTGTTCGCCCCATTGCTGGCTTTCTGCAACGCCTATGGCTGCGGCCTCACCGATTGGAATCTGGCGTCCACCTACGGCAAGCTTGCCATATTCGTGTTTGGAGCTTGGGCAGGAGCTCACCATGGCGGCGTGCTTGCAGGCCTTGCGGCCTGCGGCGTCATGATGAGCATCGTTGCCACTGCCTCAGATCTCATGCAGGACTTCAAGACCGGATACCTGACACTAGCTTCTCCCAGGTCAATGTTCGTGAGCCAAGTCGTCGGCACCGCCATGGGCTGTGTGATCGCGCCGTGCGTTTTCTGGCTCTTCTACAAGGCGTTCGACGACATCGGCATCTCCGGCAGTCAATACCCAGCGCCTTACGCTCTCATCTACCGCAACATGGCGATACTTGGAGTTGATGGCTTCTCCTCGCTCCCGAAACACTGTCTCACCCTCTGCTACACATTCTTCGCGCTCGCCATTGTCATCAACTTGGCAAGAGATACGTGCCCAAAGAAGGTAGCGAGGTTTATACCAATCCCGATGGCCATGGCTATACCGTTCTACATCGGCACATCCTTCGCCATCGACATGTGCTTGGGAAGCGCGATACTGTATGTGTGGGGAAGGATCAACAAGGCCAAAGCAGATGCATTTGGTCCCGCAGTGGCATCTGGCTTGATCTGTGGCGATGGAATATGGAGTCTGCCTCAGGGAGTGCTTGCGCTGGCTCGAGTGAAGCCACCAATATGCATGAAGTTTCTCTCAAGGAAAATGAATAACAAGGTAGACGCTTACATCGAAACCTTGTCATAGTTCTCTTGTAGATGGGAGATGATGCAAAGCATTCTATCAGGAATATATATCCACATCACAGACCATGTCTTGAGCTACTTTTATTTGATGGCTTGTGTTTCTTTGTCTAGTGGAAGTGCTGAGTAGCTCTGTAATTATAGTATGAACAACCTACATGTGATGAGAACTTGAGAATGAGCTGTGGTGGTTGCCAGTGCAAAGCTAAAGTTTTCTTTGCCTTGTTGATAAGTTGAGACATATGTATTGGACTTCTTGATAAGCATGGAAAGTTCTCACTAAGAGATTTTATGGATGAAGAGAAGAATCCCTCACTGTGAAGAAAGTTCATCTAGTTTGGACTTCACATATTCCCCACATGAAGATTGCAAGCACTACTTCAGCCTTCTAAACCTCAAGTTTGTTTCTGCAGAAGATCAAAGATTGCAAGTACAACAAATCTATCTCTCTCTCTCTCTCATGCCAATTTCATTAGCAAAGATTAAAGAATAGTCTCTTATCCCTAGCTTTCCTGATAAACACAGTTTGAATCAAACACAGAACTGGTCCATGGAAATATGGCATGGCATAAATTAGTCAACCTGCATTGCAGATGAGTCATAGATGGGGTCAGACTTTGGTGTCAACTTAAAACATTTAGCGTTTCTTTTATCAATATTCAAGAGATTAATTTATGTAGACATTTAGTACCTTCTCTTGTAATTTTTCCTCATAAAAAAAATCAGATAATCTGGCAGCAGTTTGCTAATGATACAATCTAAGATGTTCAGAAGGTTAAGTTTTCTTTATGCTACTGTATTTAAACTAAAGCTTATTTCTAAGTTATCAGTCATGGCTTTGTATCTGAATAAGAAGTAAATCTAAAATAAGCAACAACCACAAGGTTCAAAAATGATGCAAAAATATATATGTATGTTCTAAAGTAGTGATATTTGGACCCTCATATGAAGTAAAAGTTTGGCTTAATTAACCAAGAACAGGAAGCCAAAACAAATCTTGATCACCTTCCTACCTACCTAAGAGTAACCTGTTGTGCAGTTATTTTTGTGCCAAGAAACTCTTCAAACTATGAGAACCGCGGCATCCACCACTTTCTTATTCATCACTCTTTTCTTGATATTATGCACATTGGCAACAGTCTTTTTGATTATCCTTGCCTTTGAAATATGATCAACGACATGTCTTCAAATGAAACTGTAAAATCATATACGAAGGACCTCATTCTGAACTCTGCTGATTAAAAATGCTAACGTTCTCACAATTCATCTATCGTATTATCTTGAAGAAAACCATCTATTCTTTGTATTAACAAACCACCTGTAGACTGATAAACTTGAGCATGCTCTACATTGCATCCCTTATTTCGAGAAGCCTATGCCACCTTCGGTCATACTCCTTCTTCTCATCAGTAGCTGCAAATTGAACAAAGACAGAGTTAATGAGTGTGATCATCAACTTTCACATCAAATGCATGAAGCTAGTTAGCATGATGATCATTTATGTATCTGAGACATGATAATTATTTTTCTGAGAACTCAAACTTACATTGCCATATGATTGTAGTCTTCGCACATGATTCTGAGCAGGTGTCCTGCAGTATGTCTCTGTTAATAATGTCATTCATTTCAGGAGATAGGAATTCCAGATTAAATAGACCACATTACCTTTGCCGAGGCTGTCAAACGTATGGTATCTTGGATTATTGAATCAAGATCAGCTTCCGAGCCAGGTTTCACATATATCACCTGGTAATCCATTTTCATCAGAATGGATTAGACATAGTGAAACATATAAACATGTATCATACCTAATGCCACACATATGTGTATAAGAGAAAGGGATCAGAGCATACCGAAGGATCGTTTCCACCAATTTCAGGAAGTTCAAACTTGCCGTTCTTGCTTGAAGGTAGTACCCAAACATCAAATGTGGTATCGATCTGTAAAACGCAATATTATATCTTCTATACAGATTAAATTAATAAAAACTTGCGGCCACCTTTGGTAGGTGAGTGTCAATATTGTATTATGGGAGATTTCATAAAGTTTATTTTTATTACTCATTATGTATGCTAGAAATTTTAACTAGCTTAGTGAAACACATGTTTAAGTTCCTTTTACTCTTTATCTTATCCAAGGGAGTTGCATCTTTAATATTCAATATGATATTAAATGATCAAATGCAGCTTATTAAATTTGCTATTTTATAAATGGTATATCTTATTATATATATATGTCATGTCACTAATAAGTTTGTTCTGTAAATATTGGAGGTTATGACCCAAAAAGAAAGTGATATTTTCCTCTCAGAATAAAGGCATTGTTTTCATCTTTGGGTCATATATGAGTTTGGTAGATCGCCAAAAATCAAATTGTAGTAACCTAGACATTTCTTTTGATATCTTTAAACAATGGTGATGAAGTCGAAAGAAATTTAACTGATACCTCTCTGCAATAGGATGTCAAGCAGCAACTGCATTTTCTGTTGAAGGATGTCATAATTCTTCCAACAATGGAGAAGCCAAAGCTCGCATGCTGAAGCCAAAGATTTGAGAGTTAAAATGCATATAATGGAGATATTATGAACAGAGATACTGGAGTGCCAGCTGAGATGACACCGCCGCAAACGATTAAGCAGGCCAAACATTCCAATATCTCATTCAAGAGAATGTGACCAAGATAATTAGTATATCAACTAAGGTTGGTAAAAAGGTTGACCAGTGCACGAGGCTCCTCCCTACAAGTAAATAGATTGTTTCTGTAATCCGATACTTGTTCACCAAAGTTAGATAAACTTGTCATGGTGCCAAGTTCTGTGCCAGCTAAGATCGATGAACAATTTTTCATCATCAATTGAAGTGTCGATAGCTTGAAAATCCAATTGTATCATCAAAGTTCACATCTCATGGATATGGAAATCTATCATCATCTCGTTCATACAGCTGGTTGTCATCTTTGCATTACCCTTCAATGTAGGACCATTAGGAATAAAATGATTGCACATAGATGCCAAAGGAAATCGATTTGGCCAAGTTTTACATGCTAGTTGCTGGGGCAACAAGGTTATCCACCTATTGATACTGCAGATTTGGTTGAATGCAATCTAATATTGGATGATCTATCGATTCTTAGACATGTCAGACACAATTGTGGGCAAATATTTTACCTTTTGAATGGTAAGCCTAACAAAGACGTCCGCGTCGTCGTGCCCCTCTTCTGCAATGTCCGCCAGCTGAAGCTCTCTGAGCGTGAACATGTACTCGCAGCTCCACTGCCCCTGCCACCTCCCACCCGACGTCGAGATGGTGATCAATCGCCGTGGTGCTCGCGGCGCCGCCTGCGCGTCCCTATTCCTCGAGTGCTGCTGAGGGCAAGGATGACAACCGGATAAATAGACACTCGGTCATATACGCTTCGACTGATGACTGGTAAGAGGTATTGTTCACCTGGCGAGCTTCGTTTCCACGGGAAGCAGCAGCTGCAGATGCTAGAGAAGCTCCTCTATGGAAGTCGGAGCGAATGGCGAATCGAGTGCTGGGGCAAAGACTTCTGGTGTTGAGGTCAGTGGAGATGGGACGGAGGAGTTGTGAGATGGAGCTGTATGGCTTCGCCATTGAGCAGAGCTTGGTTTGCCGTAACTCAGCAGTGTGAACAGAAGGCTTTTGGGTAGCCTTATCTATTGGCATAAGAGTTCGTGTGGTGCCGAATTACGTCTTCTAATTAGATCTTTTAGCATTTCCATCCTTTAATTAAAAAATCTATATTGATTTTTTTTTATAATTATTAAAATAAAAATATTTAATTTTATTTATCTTAATGTTATCGATTTTATTAACGAAATATATAATACACAATAGCACAAAAATGATTAGTAAAAAAATAATTTTAATGTCTTAATTATATATTTTTTATTATATTCTAATTAAAAAAAATTTATCGACTATTATGACGGTAGTGGACGATGATGCCATGTCATCACGGGCAGTGCAACCTGACGACAACAAGGGTTGAGCCCCAAGGTCCTCGAGATGTTCCCCACGCTGGTGTACTCGGAGGCTAAGGGGTTGAAGGTAGGGAAGGGGGCGCTCGAGTGTATGGTGTGTCTCAACAAATTTGAGGACAACGAGGAGCTCCACCTTCTCACTCGTTGCAACCACGTCTTTTATTTATATTGTATTGACACCTAACTTGCCTCCCACTTAACTAACTTATTTTGTTTATCACACCAATCTCGGTGAATAAACCGTTGATGAAAACATCGACCTACTACATGTAGCCACCCTTGTTACAGATATGGTGGATCTTCAGCTTAAAATGGTTGCCCCGCCATAAAATCATGTCACCATCATCGTGGACCCATAGTGGTGCTAGCGGAAGAGGAGGAAAAAAATGAGGTAGCCATGGAATTGGTGCAGATTGGAAACTAGAGGTGGGCAACTCGATGGTGATCCGGGTACAATCAACAAAGCTCTCATGGTCTCATTCAATGGGACATTTCCAGGTCCGACCGGTGGACAACGTCAATCGGTACACCCTTCACTTGCCACTCTCCCCCCTCTTTTTCCTTTGGCACTACTATGTATCTATATTGGTAGGAGGTGAGGCATCTGCATGGGCGTTGCCCAGATCATGGGAGCTTCTCCAGCTGCCACCTAGATTGTGATCAGGCCACCTACCTTTGGCTTCTAATCCTTGCCAATTCCATGACGGCCTCCTTTCACTCCTCTTTTGTCATCATCGTTGTGGGTCCAAGATGATGGTGACATGATCCTATAGCGGGACAGTGATTTCATGCTAAAGATTCATCGCGTCTATAGTATGGGTGGCTATAAGTAGATGGCTTGCTCCACAAGATTGGTGTGGCAAATGGGGCAAATTACATGGGAGGTGATCCAAGGTGTCAATGCAATCCAAGTGAAAGACGTGGTTGCAACAAGAGAGGAGGCAGAGCTCTTCGTCATCTTCGAACTCTTTGACACACATCGCATACTCGAGTGCCTCCTTCCTCACTTTCAATCTCTTAACCTTATAGCACACCAACGTGAGGAACATCTCGAAAACCTCGGGGCTCAACCCTTGCTATCACCGAGAGTGGGTTACATTGCTCGCGAAGTAACGACACCACTGTCCACCACCACTACAACAATCGACTAAAAAGTTTTAATTATAATATTAAAATTATATTTTTACTCATCATTTTCATGTCATTCCTATATATGCTATCACATATTGTATTTTTTACCGATAAAACTAATGACATTAGGATAAATAAGATTAAATACTTTATTTTTATAATTATAGATATTTTAATATAAAATTTTAAGTCTAACAATCGAAATAATTATAAAGAATAATATGTAATTAATAATATGTAATTAATAATACATGTGCAGTGAAAGGTTCTTACTGGCATAGGCCTACTTGGATCCACCTGAACCCATGCATCATCAGCACCAAGATGTGACAAATATCTCACTTATTTCCCTGTTTTCAGATTAATTCATCTGCTCATCATTCGTCCTATATTATCTTTCCAGTCTAATATTAAACTTCTAATTCATCCACAGCAACAAGTACAAAAGAACTGATGTCAGTAAACATACTTGGAACACAAGAACAAGCAACAAGAAGCCTACTTAAAATGACCATCAGATCTGTCTAACCTGCAGCTTAAAATGACCATACCAGACAAGAAACAGATTCCAGCAATGCTATCAGATCTGTCTAACCTGCAGCTTAAAATGCTCGTCTCCACGATAACGGTCATCAATCTTAGAAAGAAGCAGTTATCAAATGTATCCATTCATGAAGGGACAGAATAGAATAACTTTGCCTCAAACCCATCACTGACCTAAAATCTGGCTCAACAAATTGAACAAATTGACATGCAAAATTATTCTTTCATTGAGAATGCAATCTATCACCAACTACGTAGCAGAATTTGCAATCCAATAAGTATTTCATCATTGGTCACAAACCATCAGTTTACATGTAGGTTGGGAGTGTTCAAATGAATGATTTTTGAAGTTCCACTACAGACTCTTGAAACCTATGAAAGCAGGACCATGCTTCTAACAACTCAAATATCAGCCGCAAGGAAATTTGCAGATAGAGATACCTGAAAATAATGAGTATACAACAGTGAGTCTCTAACTAAAAATGGCTGAAAACTTTTCTGCTATTTTAAGCAACAAGTTCGTGAAAATGTGGTGTCTACCTTTTCACCAAGTTTGAATGGAGGGAGACCTTTATATGGGCATGTACCACAACGGAATGCATCACCAAGACCACACTGCAAGATTTGGCAAAAGATTAACAACCATCAAAAAGAAAACAGAAAACTCTAGGAATAACCCTATTTTAAGAATGTGAACTTTGTTACTTACGTTGCCACATGCTGATTGAGGATTGTTTATCTGCTCAGAAGTCAGACCCAGCTTCAGCACCTTTGCTTCTTCCTCTGCCCGACCACATGTGCAGTTCCTGCAGGCTTTCTTTGCCTTTCCAACTTCACAATCTCCTACTGCATTAAGTTCATGAATCACAGATCAATATTTAGCTATTGTTGTGTAGCAAAGGGCAATGCCCATAATGTAAAGCATATCTAACCCAGTGGTAACTGTGGTTTCTTCAAGTCCTCCTCAGTTAAAAGACTGTCCTCATCAATTAAATCTGATTCATCATCGATTTGGATCTTTGGAACAGTTTTGGTTGCCTTTTTCAGAGAGAACGATGAGCCCATTGTCCAAGAAGCCTTTTTGCCCTTGATCTGAATCAAATTGTCACAAATTAATAGCAACAACAAACACAACATAAATGCAAGCTGAAGACACCCAGCCAGTCATTTCCCAACTCAATGCTGAACTTTTTCAAGATGTGGTTAGAGACTTAGAGATAATACTATTTTAATCTGTTTGAATTGTGTTAAAAGAATCCATCTTCCCGTGGCTTCATACAGATTACACAGTGATGAGATTCTACAATTGGCATGTCATTTAATAACACTCTAAAACAGTGATCTTAAACTTTTGACTTCAAAAAATTCAGATAAATTGCAATTCAGCAAAGGCATTCAATGCAGGGTAATATGTGGCGTAGGGTATCTTAAGGTTAGGCCTTAAATGAATCTTGATTTAATCAAGCATGGCATTAACTCTATTCAGATGGTAGTTTCTAATTTTTGCCTCCGTTGGGTGAACCATAATCCCTTTTAAACAGCTACTCGAGGGAAATCCCACTTTGGGTTGCATTCATGAGAGTCATTCTAGTAAGTATAAATTGACTGAAAAATAATGAAATTCATCCAAGCATGGATGTACAATAGCATCTATGTGTATCCATATGTATACATCATATCCATAAGTTATACATCATTATTACAATAAACAAGGATATATGCAAGTTCTTGTCCATGTTGGTATCCATAGTTAACAGGACAAAAAGGATATGATTTTCCAAAATACATGAGTGGCTTTCAAGATAAGAAGTGGTGAAAATTCAAACTCACCGTACAAATGTGTACTTGTTCAAGTGAGAGAAAAGGTTTTGCTTCCAAGGATTGTACTTCTAAGAATCCCGCCATTAGCAACTTGCGTTCAAGCATCGAGCTTGGCTGCAACAAGAGCAACAACATAAATCTTCTTGCAAGGGTTTTAACATCCAGAAAGATGCACACTTCCAATCATTTAAAATAATTCTTACCTTACTTCCAGTCTGCTCAGCAGAAGCCTGTATCACAATAGCTCCACCAGGTTTAAGCACTCTGCTGAACTCCTCAATCGATTGCTCGCCAACAAGTTCTGGTGCTTCGGACACGGAAACAACTAGATCTACTGAGGAAGACTCAATAGGCAACTTCCCTCCTGTAACACCATTAAACTACCATCATTTACTGTACACTGATCGATGTAACTAATATATGAGTACGGCGTTCTACAGGGCGGTTCAGATCTGGACCAAGCCTCAAATTACGTGAAACAGAGACGACACGAACAAAAATTCAGTCGATTTCAGATAGATCTATTTAAAGAGCGACAAATTTCCCAGGTCATTCATATGTTTCACTCACATTTAAATTCCTTGTCCTATGGATACCAAATTCAAAGTTTTGACAAGGAAAAGGGGGAAACGAGAAGAAGTTACCCAGAGAAGCCGCTTGGGTTATAACACGCACGTCGTGGTCTCGAGCAACCAAATCCATCCCCAAATCCAAGCCACTAAACGCAGACAACACCGCATTGAGAGGGATGGAGACGTCATCCGCCAGCAGAAGCGCACGCTTCCCCGTCGCCGCCATGCCCTGCAATCAAAAACCAAGGTTCAGAAGCCATTAAAATCTAGATCCGTAAGCGAAGAATGCAACGACGCCCTTCAATCAAACCCAGAAAGAAAAAAAAGAAACAAAGATCTGTCGAAGCCAACTTTTAGGGGCAAATCGAGGAGAAATGACTCCGCGATCGACCGGGGAGGGGCGAGAGGGGAAGAACGTACCGTCGAAATCGAAACCCTAATGGAAATCTCCGAGAGAAATCGACCAGGCGTGCTTCGATCCGGGAATCGAAGATTCAAACTCTGGGAAGACGGGATCGCGTTGGACGGAGACGGCCACGACGAATCGCGTTATTTTCGAATCGAGTTTTGCTTCGACGCCAATTTATTTACATTGATGGTGGCGAAGGCGGTGACCCCTTTTGACCAATCCTGGAGGACACGTCACCGGATCCGACGGCTCAGGTCTGACTTAATTAGAGGAGGCACTGATCAGGCCGCCTGTGGATTTGTATCAAACGGTGGTCGGCTTTTCTCCCTTATTTGGCTTATTTATTCGACGCTGACGATGTCGGTGATGTCGCACGGGATGCACGCGGCAGCCTTCGACGACCATCAGATGGAAGGTCAACAGATCCGACGGTCCAGTTTCACTTGTGTGGGTTGTGATGCAATTCCCTGCTGGCCACCACACAGCTTTACCTCTTTGTGCGTGTTTAGCTATTGATCTCACATAAATGATCATTTAGTGCATTTCCCACTCACAAATCCTACGTGTTGCTTTTATGGCAGCTTCTGCTGCTACTTTAGCAAAGGTGACCGACACACAAGTGCTCCCCTCCATTACCGTTCTGCTCAAAGGTGATTACAAGCTGTGTAGTTGCTAACAAAAGGTGGTCGGATGACAGGGCCACCGGAATTTGAATGCTTATACGCAGCATATGCTACCGTAAGGTAGAAGAGGGAGAGAGGGAGAGTGTCTTGAGGATAATATAGCTTATGGATAAGGAAGAGTAGCAATACTGTTATGGGCTACTGTTCCAACCCACAACTTCCCCTGCACTTGCCTAACTTCGCTGACCAGCTTCATCACCTCGCCGCCTCTGTCCTCGAGCACCTCGACGACGTTGCCCTCCTCGTCGAAGAGCGAGATCATGGTGAACATCTTCATCCCCGTCATCCCTGCGAGGAAGCTCAGCCTCAGCGGCAGTCTGAAGTATACGCTTCTCAGCCATGGATTGCGGGAGAAGACCTCCTGCGCCCGCGTGCGGCAGCAGTCGATCGCCGCCCAAAACTGCCCCTTCTCCGTGATCCTTATGTTGTCCGGGAACCCTGGCAAGTCCGCAAACACCTCCAACTTGCCAGCTTTGGGTCCTTCCATCCAAAGCCTCATTATCCTGCACCACATGCAGGTGTATATAAGCTCATGCAGGTATGCCATGGGCAATCGGATGAGAGAGGGACTTGCCTGCAATTGGTGGTCTCGGTGAAGAGAAGAAAGGTTTGATCCTTGGATAGCTGCACCCCATTAGGAAATGCTAAGCCTCTCAAAACGACATGAGTAGCTCCAGAAGCTGGGTCGTACCTCAGAAGCCTTCCTGTGGCTTCTCCTTCCAGTAATATGAAGAAGTGATCACTGCATGCCGACGTATCCCACCAGTGAGAGCGTTGCAAACAAGGGGAAGACGAAGGCCAAACACCCCTCACCTTCTGCTGTATCTCGAGCTGGTGTCGGTGAAGAAGATGGACCCGTTGCGGTGGACATCCAAGTCGTTGGCAAAGAGAACAGGTCTCCCTTGCACATGAGTCGATAGAAGAGTGGCAACGCCTCCATGGTGGCCAACGGCGGCGAGCCCCAAGTAAGCGTCGGCGATATAGAGCTTCCCGGACGTCTTGTCGAACCGCAGACCGAGTGGTCGACCGCAGAGCTTCTCGTGCTTGTGCTGCTTCGCCGTCGTCGACTCCACACCATTAGCGCACACTTTCTCCGACCTTTCGTGCGCACGTATGGCGTTCGGTGTTACTGTGAGGCTCGATTCAAGCAGCTAAAAGGAGCAGAGAAGGTATACCAGTTAGGGCTAACGAGAGCAAAGGTCTTCCACCGGATGGACTCGCCCATCCACCGGACGACGCGGCCGTCGGCCAAGCCGGCGTACGGGCCTCGGCCCTGGGGATCGAACTCGAGCGACTCAGGGCCGAACACCTCGTCGACGAACTCCAGCTTCCCGAACCGGAGTCTGCTTCGACAATCTCGAGGCCAGCGCTGCATGACCTGGTCGTAGGGCGCGATGTTGTGCTTCACCGGCCGGTAGTCGTGCCCCCCCAGCGGACCCAAATGGAAGGGGTCCATGAAGACGAGGCCGAATGCCAAGGCCAGGAGGGAGAGCCATGGGCGCGGCAGCAGGCCATCTTCTTTTCGCAGGCCTTTCTTCTCCATTTAAGCTGAGACGACAATGAGAGAGAAAGAGACGGAGGATTATAAAGCAGTGGACCGAGTGCAGATGCATGCATGGCTTTGTTTGAGCATGAGGTTTGTGTGAATCGGTGATTGTTTGGGGTTTGGTTGTGCATGCTTTTGACCTGCTACCATTTCCTCCATCAGTACTGCAAAGATTGAGCTTCAAAATATGTGCAATTTTCTCTTGATTAAAGACCATGTAATGAAAGTTTTGCAAAGTCCAAAAGATAAACTGATCATAAAAGTTGTAATAATACAAACTCCTAATAAGAGGAGCAAAAATTGAGTTGCATTGTGGTCACCTGAATTCCCTCCCTTGATCATGTGATGCCTTTTGTCTACACTTTCCACAAACACAATTTAAGCTTCTATCACTTGTGGACACTTTGGGATCTTGAAACAACCATTCCTGAGAAGCATGCAATTATGGTGCAACACATGCCCATGGTAATACAAACCTTCCAAATTACAACCCCAAAAAAAGCCATCTTTTGCTCATTTTAAGACTGAAAGGATATGATAATTATGGTGCCTTTGTCATAATTAATGACCTGGTCTTCACTTCTTTGATCAAGGTATGGATTTGAACAGCTTAACACTGCAAAATGCAGACAAGCTATTTGAATTCCTCTGCTACTCCCCATCACGATACATGTGCCATTTCTGGTATCTCTGATGACCACGTAGTACAGGTCTAAGTCGAGGAGCGGATGTGCAGTGCAAACAACAGCACCCGCTTAATTGTGTCACACAAGAGCTACACGACCTGAGAAGACGAAGGAAAAAAGAAAAATAGAACTGAATCAACTTTGGATGTGGAATTGGTTGGGACTGAAACAACTACGCGGTGCTTTAAAAAAAAAAATTTAACCGAACAAGATATAAGGTAGTAGCAGGTGCTTACAAAAAGAGCCGGTTGCAATCAATATTTGCACAGTTGCGATGCCTGAATTCAAGAAACTCTGATCCACATATGTAGCATCTTGCAAATGTATTGTTTTTGTGCACCATATTAGGTCTTGCAGCGGCATTGGTGTTGGCTCCTGGTTTGTAGGTAGAAGGTGGTAAGGACAGACGCCCATCAAAAACAAACAGGTTCCCAACCCATTCAGCTGAACCTTCATTCTTGAGATAATTAGAGACACCCCCGCTTAATGTGTACAAGTTTTGGAAACCCTTTTGTCTGGCATGTGAAAATTTTGGAAAGTCAGTTAAGAAAATTAAGATATTTTCTACTAGAGTGAATCTGATAACAAAGGTAAGGCTTATTCCCATGAATAAGCTAAAATTTTCAGGAAAAGAAAACAACCTAAGAATTGTGGAATACACATCACATCTTATGCCACCTGTGCAGTACATCAGTATATCAGTATGTTCCTTGTCAATTCCAGCTAAAGGATCTGAAGAGGCTACCTGGATTTCAAAGACCAGATGGCGCAAAGTGAGTTAGAAAAAAAGTGTAGATTTATCAACAGGACAAAAATCAGTAGTCATGTAAGATTCATTCCTACACATCTCACTGAAAGCAAACTGGCTAAAACAGCAAAAGAGCTTCATTACCATAACAGGATAATTAAATAGGCTAGAACACAAGCACAGTTTACCAACTATGCTAGAAAGTGTGCAACTTAGATGCAATGGATGGTTGTGAATATCTTTTACATGGATATTTTGTCTGAAGACGGTGTAAATCCATCTGACATATCAAAATGGTAAAATTGCTACTTACGTAGTGATCAAACCTGGTTCTCTATCAAGGCCAAATTCTGATTAAATTGTTTAAGGTGCACTTGACTAGAGGCAAATTTGTATCTCCAAATAATATGTCCACTTTGGAGGCAGATTTTAGAAATTTCATCAAATAAGTTATTCAGTGACAGTAATTCTCTATGAAACTAGCTGGCAACTAGAGAAAGTAGATTTGTTGAGCTAGAAGAAACATATATAGCATGTCTATCCGTGGAGCCCATGAGTAGTGTATGTGTATTGAGATACACAAGATTGAAAGTAGATTCAGATAATAATACAACAATCAAATCATAACAGAATACAAAATTGAAGGAACCACCAGGGCCATTAAATGCTAAAAGGCACTTACTGCCAAGGTGAGAAAATGAGAAAGGGCGAAAAAAATCATCAGGAATCTTTTTTACTTTTCTCAAAGAGGCCATGAATTACTAAAATATAGCTAAAGTATGTGGAGAAGATAACTAGCTAAAAAATTTCAGTAATAGGATTTCTTAAAATGTCCTAGTTCATAGAAAGAGAAACTCTTTATTTTCTTTTCCTTTCATTTACTTTCAATTTTCTCTTGCCCTAGAATCTAGATAGAGACCTAGACTGGAAGATTAAAAGGCCAGTTATCAAGGTAATAATAATAATTATATTTAATAAGAAGACCCGGGGATTCTCAAGATCCAATTTGCATTGTTCTTGGGTACTGATGGTGCAACTAGCAAAGCAAGTTCAAGATTTGAAAATGTTTGAGCTAGAAGATAAGGCAACGAATAGTCATAAACAATGAGCTAGATGAGATGATTCATGTAAGCAATCTTGAGTTGAACTAGTATAAAATTTCTCCTACATGTAAATTGAAGAACTATAAAGTAAGAAGAGAAGTTTTAGCTGAATGGTAATGAAACCTCTTGTTCTGAGAGCCCAAAGGAGGTGCTCCTAAAACAATCCACGTTAGGTCTTTGTGCTCCTTGAAAATGTCCAACATCCCATTCATAGCCTGCGAAAAAAGGATATGAAGTAGTATTTTACTTTTGTGCAACATACAAAAACTTTGAATTATATATATAAAATAAGACTCATCCTGAAAATTCAAGTATTAAATGTACATAGAAGAAAATAAACTTTTTAATGGTTTAGGCCCTCTCGACAAGATGTTCACATCTCAAGAAGTTGTTGTCTAAATAATCAAATTATTCGAAGTTAGCAGAACTAGGAATAAAATTACCGTTTCTCACATCCAGCAGTAGACATTTCCTATCAGAGACCTGCCCGTCTGACTCATGTGTTGGTCTGCTGACATTGTTCACGGATAGCAATCTTTTTCTCCAATCAGATGGAGTCAGTGGGTAAGCTCGCATAGAAGGATCCACCAAAGGAAGGTGAGAAACACCTCCTTCCAACTGAAGAAAATATTAGAGCAAAGAAAAAGTGGTCAATTCCATACATAATATGGCATGAAAGACAGCCTACTACAATACACTAAATCACAATTTGAACTTCTATAACATCACTGTAGGAGTTTTTGTACAAAAACAAGCAGAGATTTCATTCATTAGGTTGTGGCTACATGAAGAAGTTGGCTCTGCAAATTTAATATGCAGAGCAACGAGATACTCATTCTTGATGTTTAAATAGTCAAGTTACTCAGAATAATGAATGGTGCAGTCAAATTGCCTAGTAGTACAAATTTAACCATAACATAAAGCAATAATTTTTTACTTTGATAACAGGAAAATGGAGGTACATGACATACTTTTACATCAAGGGTTTACATTTTACAGAACGCTTATCGGCAGCTTGCATGCTACAACATAGGAAGTGTCCCTCAGGGAAAACAAAAACAGAAAAAGAGAAGAAAGAAAGCAGAAGCTATATTTTATGTACATATAAGTTGACTATCACATCTAAATCAAACATGAGGCTCCAAATTGAAGATTAACTCTGTTTGCAGACATACAAAATAATCGGAAACCAAACATTCATGTGATTTGGATATATTCTGTGTCTTCATAAAAGCAACACAAAATGCAGGTCTCAAAAATTCAAGAGCATACGGCTCAACCCCGGACACAGAGGACACAGATATATCTTTTCTGTATAACAATTTAAATTTACATGCAAAAGCCAGAACTGCACTATAGCAAATAAGGCCATAGCATGATAATAGTAAATATGGCTTGCCTGTACAAGTGAGGGTTTATACCGCAGTTTCAACCGTGGAAAAGCATGCCCATGAGAAGCTGCTGAAACCTGGACCAGAATATCTGAAAACCTCTGATCCTCCTTAACCCAATCTGCATAGGCCAGAGCATCTTCATTTGGACCACTATACTGAAAATAATAACAATAAAAACCAAGTATTATTATTGTTAAGCGAAAAAATCCAATATTCATAAAGCTATGTCATTAATATATGCCTTAATACTCTTCCTCATATAACAAATATCATCTGAAATTACAACGCTCCCAACAACTTGTATGCACGACAATGGTATAAGCATTGCTTAACATCAGATCTCCTTCTTTAGATCAACAATGCATCAGACACATTAAACCTTCCTTATAGGTCTTAAAATTGTTACAGGAGTGAATATTAAATTTTAAGAAAGTAAAGACCGGGGAATGTGCACAAAACTAATATTTTTTTGTTAATCACTCTTTCAAAATTAAAGGATAAAAATGTCCCGTAATTACATCTCAAGCTGTCAAAAAATCTAAGATAATTGCACCTGTGCATTAATCCCTTGCTCATTGACGTATACGCGACCATGAATATCCCGTCCCTAGTACCATAAACATCAACATAAATTAGGATCATTGTTCAAGTCGTTTAAATGCATAACGTAGCAAGTGATCTCTCTATATAATGATAGAATCAACACAAAATAAGTCATGTCAAGACAAATTCTTTGCCATATAACAAGATGATACATGGCTAATATTGGAACAAAACCCTTAAAAGACTTTACTTTATTGTGGGCAAATACCATGCTAATTCCTCAAAAATGGAAAGCAGAAACAAAAATCAGTGTAACGCAAAGATAAAACGATCAAGTAGTATTGATAATGACCTAGACCTGGAGGAAGGCGAGGTGCCAGGCGACCTCAGCCTGAGGGTTTTCGATGACGACGAACTTATAGAAGCTGACGACCACGAAATCGTCCCCTCTTCCGGCGTCTGGCTCCTGATCGGGGCTACGGCGGGAGGCGACGACCCCCTTGGCTCTTGATGCCGGTCGTATAGGAAAGATCCGAGGGAAGGAGAAAGAAGAGAAGGAGGAGGAAGAAGAGCAAAAGAAGGGAGACACAAACGGCAGGCGGCGGAGGGGCCGCACGGGGCACGGAAT